TTAATATCAGTGATATCATATTTTTCCATAAACTTGTTATACTCGGAATCGTCTATTTTTACCCTAGCTTTCTTTCTATAAAATATTATAGCATACTCAAGAGGCATTATTTTTATCATACTTTCTTGTAATATTTTTTGTTTCTCAGTTAATTCCTCAGTTTGTTCTGACACTTTTTCTATTAACCTCCTTAACTCGTCGGGATTAACAGCCTTTGTTGTTATAGCTTGCTGAAGTGCAAGAGGGTCGTTTATTAATCTATCAAATTCAACCTGTCGTGCAATAGGATCAACAATGTCTCTTACAAGTTCTTCTGCAATTTTTTTATTTTCTTCTTTCGATCTTTCTCCTAGTAAACCAAACAAACCCTTTTCTTTCATTTTTGCTAGTTCTTCCGGAGACAATGTTGGTATTTCTGGCTGCTTGCCAAGCATTGCCTCAGTAACAGGTTTGAAAAATTTGGTTCTTTCTTCTTCTGCTTGAACTTGTCCACGTCGAGCTTCTTCCACCTTTTTCTTAAAAGCCGCTCGAGTTTCGAGAAACTTTTTTAGTAATTCGATTTTCTGTTGATGTTTGTCCATTATTTTTATACGCTTTACAAAATTATATCATAGAAACGTCTCAAGGCAACAACGAAACATTTTGGTTGGATCACGCGCTAGCTTGTCAAATAAAAAGAAACTATATCGATCTTTAGTTGCTCGATGATATAATTCGATAAATCTATCTTTTGTAACGTCACCGCACTGCTCGTTTGCAATATTTCTCACATCCACATTATCTAGTCCGGGAAATAATATGAAACAACCCGTATTTCGCCTAATAAACCTATCAACATTATAAAAACCTTGGGCAAGATAAACAGAATTACATCTTTTATTACGTGATAGTGAAAAATATGATCTAATCTTGTTCATTTCCTCATTGTTTAGCGGAATATCATCAAAGACGATTATCTTCTGCTCTGACGAATCGAGTTCATTCACTGGAACGAGTTCTTCTGGTTGTTTTATCAAAAATATATCATCACCAATGCCAAGTTCATCACGAAGTTTATCATTATACTCGTTTAATAATTTGTATTTGTCTTGTTGGGGGTTGATGGTGTAAATATACACCTTATCATAGTTAAAGTTATTATTGAGTAAAAGATTTAATAACAAATTTGTTTTACCAGATCCAGTTCGCCCAACAATAAGATAATGACAGTCTGGAAGTTCATTGTTATGTTTATGCTTCACCAATCGCTCGGTGTCAAAGTTTATTATCTTCGCCATCGTATAATTTTATGTTATATTAAACCAACAATTTTGTGTAGAACGGTATGTATAATGAGCTACTATACAAAATTTGGAACATTAGCAGTAGATTTATTAACAGAAGGTTACCAGGGTGACTTATCCAAGTATGCGACTCTTGATAAGCTCAAAAATGAAATCAACAATTTGTTAAACGTTGCAAGTGTAGATCCAAATGAAGTTGTAGTTTTCCAGGACAAACAAGGACGATTAAAGACGAGTAATGTACAACTATCAGATGTACTAGTACGAAATCCTACTGCAGTTGCTAATAATATTGTTACTTTTAACAATCAAGGTAAGATAGAAGATTCGGGTAGGTCAGTTAACGATTATGTTAGAAAAGCAGGTGATTTATTTACGGGAAACATTGTTATGAACCAGAACAAGATCACATACCTTGGAAACCCAACTGAGGATAATGACGCTGCTACTAAGAAATATGTTGATGATCAGGAATCAAAGTACGTGTCGGCGCATGGCGGTATAATGCGTGCATTTCTCAACATGAACAATAATGGCATCAATAATCTTAGAACACCAGAATCTGATTTTGATGCTGTAACAAAGAAATATGTTGATGATATCAACAATGAAATCACCAAGTTCAAAACTGATTTTACTAATCACATCACCACGTTTTTAAATTTTCGCAGAAACATAAACAAAACCAATAACGAATTTTTTGGAAGTCCGCCATCTGTTGATATTACACTCGATAATATTAACACAAAACTCAACGATATTATTAGTGGAATTCCTAGTATTGTTGAGAAAACAAGTATGATTAAAATTCCTCACAAGCAGATTAAAAATATTGTCTATACTGTTGCTTCTGGAATGTCTACTTGGTCGCCGCAAAATAACACTCTCAAACATACTGCAGAGGTCACTGGTGTGTATAGATTGTCCGTGTTGAGCAGTGCAAAGTTTAATATATTTACATTATTTCCATGGCGTCACTCGACTGATAATTTCTCTGGAACCGTGTCTATTGTGTTAAACAAAGATGTTGAAGAAACTTTTATGCTAATAGCAGATGACAAAAAATTAACTGCTGCGTCATATTGGTATTGTCTGGAATTTGTGGCTGAAACACCTCAACTAGTTACTTGATCAAGCCTGAGATTATGTGAACAAATATTATAATGAAAAAAAGTATAGTTGATTTCAATCATATTTCAAAAGATATTCCAGACAGGATGTTGACGCACTAATACAATACTACAAATATTATCATAAAAAACTTTGGTGCGTTAAAAAATGCTACAAATATTATAACAAAATACTTCGAGTAATATCATATCTACCCTTGTTAATGACTAGTTCTGGCATAATTTCAAGTGGTATATCATTAAACCCGTTTTTGTTAATCATATCCGGTGTTGGTGTTTCTCTTACAGCAGCTTGTAAAAAAGTTGAACCTAAAATTTTGATTAAAAAGCACGGCTGCTTAACATCAATTATAACTTACAAAAAACTACTTGATCAAATAAGATCTTACCTACGAGGAGTAAAATATAGTATGGACGATTTAATACGTGAATTTCGTATTATTGACAACATGTTAACAGATATTCTTCCCATGAGGATCAGCAAATATGAGAAAGATTATCAAAAGAAGTATGATATAACATAAAATTTTATATAATACCACTTACCTTACTGGAATTCTAATGCGTAATTTAGTCCACAATCGCCACGCTCTGCTAAATCGTAATGATTTGGAAGATTGAGTCTGACATATCATTTTGCTTATTCTGGAAGATCACGTAATTAAATTTTACCTGTTACCTAGGTATTTTGCAACAGGTGTTCTATTGTATTTGTTTGGAGGTCTAGAGGGGTTGTTGAGCTCGGATTCTTAGCGCAATTATTGATTGCAACAGGTGTTCTATTACGTTACCTAGGTATTTTGTATTTGTTGAGCTCGGATTCTTAACGCAATTATTGATTGCAATAGGTTTTCTATTACGTTACCTAGGTATTTTGTATTTGTTTGGAGGTCTGGAGGGGGTTGTTGAGCTCGGATTCTTACTTTCTCCTACTACTCTTATTACCAAATAGGTGCATTTCATGATTTGCATGGTCCAATAATTAAAAAGTCTCATCTTTGTTAGGAATTACCATAAATGCTGCATATGAGTTTTCTGGATAGTATTTTATCAAAAAGATTGCATATTAGGAGCAAATTTTTCTTTCTTTTTTTTTAAAAATTGTTTTTCGTATCCAAACAAGAGATACTTGTGTATTTAAAATTGCGTTAGACTGCAATTTTATTACGCATTTTATTGCGCATTTTGTTATTAAAACTAAAGTCATATTAAGGAAAAAGTCATCCAGGATGAGATGATAATGTCATTCTTTATCATTTAGGTCAATTAGGATTTCAGTAGAACTAGCAAATAAATTATTAAATATTTTATTAGACAATAAAAAGTGTTGCAGCTTGCAAAATCGTACTTGTATCATTATTTGTGGTGTTTATTTAATTGTTCCAGTGCGAGCTGCTTTTTTATTGTTTAACGAAACGTTTTAAGAAATGCAACAAATCATCTTATTATATGCTCCGTTTTTCTCTGTTACGTTTACGTTGCCAGAATCGTCCAGTGTTTTACGATAGTGCACGCACGTTTACGACACGAGCTTATAATGGAATTACTTTGTGAATAAACCATGTACACTCAAGTAATAAAGTTTTAGTTTCAACTTATTAGATTTATTTGTGGATTACTAAAAAAGATGTTTCGTGTATTTGAAATAAAAATGATAAATTGATGTGGACCAATTTGCTAAGACACAAATAAAATTTAAAATAAAACAAACGAATAAACGTGGTAATCTCAATGCTCACAGCAAACGTGAGAGACGCAGTAGTGAAAATAAAGTCTGATCAAGACGACGACGAATTCTTATTTCCGCTGGGGAAACCAGCATATACTCCAGTCTCTTTGCAATTTTCGGAGTTAACTATGTTGATACAATGTTTCGGATTTAGGTTAGCATAGACTCCGTGATACGGAGCACAGGTCTTAACATAACTGGAATCATGCAAGTAACCACGCATAAACATCTTATTAAGCTGGTAACATGAATGGCAAAATTAAGCTTACAATTTTGCATCTTGAATTTCCTCAAAATGTACTTTCTTCGTTCGGCAAATCCGAAGTTCATCAGCTCTGTCATGGGTTCTAAAGACTGCTTACACATTTATCGAAACTGTTCTGTAATTTCGACTACGTTCCTAATGAGTTTTATTTAATGCACTCAAAATAAATGAACGTGAAATTCCCCAGGGTCTTTTGGATAATTACAATTGAAGAGTTAATATTTCCCACATTTTGATTCCAAACATTAGATGACATAATGGAAACACGTATGCATCCTAGTCAAAACGAGCCCCTGATCTCCCTATTCAAATCACAGACACCTGTATTTTGTGTGGATGTGATGTGATGTGATTACGATTTTTAACGTAACTTTAACAATTTTTAAATCATATCACTACGATGTCTGCAGTGTGCCAGTTTATAGTGATATCTAGCATTGGGGCATCATGCCGCAGACATGTTACCATGATGTCCCACCCAGTCACATTATCCTGATACCAGGCCAACCAACACTAACCAGTACTAACACTAACCTCTTAATGCTAAGCGTCAAGCGAGGTAGCTGTTAGTACTATTTTTTAAGTCTTTGGTATGACTCGACCTGGGATGTAACCCACGACCTCCAGCATCCGAGGCGGACGCTCTAACCACTAGGCCAGCGGAGCGGTTATTTTGTGTGAAATTAAAACAACTGAAAAAGATGTTTCAATGTGCATTCATTCACAACATGGGTCTTCAATTTAACTTGAAGTAGACAAAAAGCGGCAATTCTTTTTGAAAGTGATGGGCGGAGTTATATACGCATCAATATTGTTGTTACGTACTATTGAATCTGCGCTTGTGTATTCATTTTTATAAGCAGCATAAATTCAGTTACTTTGATTCTTGGAGTGTATTTTTGTTTATATAGTTAAGCTTCAGATAAAATACGAAAATGAGTATGGAATAAAAAGGATACTTCATTCATATGGGAAAATATGAACTCATTTTGTCGAATGGATATACTGCACTCCCAAGGTAGTGCACTATCCATCCGATATAAACGCAGTAGCAGTAGCCTATAATGAATGCACTGTATTGACGTCATTGATTTTTTGCTTCATGTCATCAGATATATTTCATGGCAGCTTGCCGGAAATCATTTACTGGGAAAATATGAACGCGGTTTTTGGATGGTTATACTGCACGACAGTTGGAGTGAAAAATATCCATCCGACAAAACGAGATCATATTTTTCCATACAAATGCAGTAACCTATGCTCATTTTCTTATTTTTCCCAACGCTTAAATATATAAACAAAATTACACTACAAAAAACAATGTAATTGAATGTATGCCGTTTTCCAAACTAAATTTACAAGCGTAGCTGCATCATTACACATCATTATTAATTTGCACGTAACTCCGCCCAAACAAATTTGGAGTTGGTCTCGCTAGACGTATGTTTAGAAAGAAAATTGCGTTTCATCTACTTTAAATTGAAATGTGAAGTAATATTGTTAAAGAATACGCATTGCAAAAACTTTTCGATTTGATCAGGAATGAATACGTCTTGGTATTTTTTTCGATTCGAAGCAATTTTGTGATTATGGTCTGGATTTATATACATGAAGTAATTTAAATCGGATTCCAGCAGCGTCTGCCGATTTCATCGTTGACATTGGCATGCGTGTTTCTGTTCTGTCATTGAATGATTCAGATCATATTGTGGAAGCCTTTCAATTGCAATTATCGAAAAGAATTTAATGTTCGTTTCATTTTGAGCGCAGTAAGGAAGATGTAACTGCACATGGCTTGGAACAAACTTGAAATTACCTTACAATTTCAAAATGATTTATCAACCTCGAAAACACATGACATGGCTTATGTAATTCTAATTTTCAGAACTACGAAAGTATATTTTAAAGAAATTTAGGATGTAAATTTGTATGTATAGTTTTGCCATTTTTAATAAAAGATAAAGAAGACAGTTTATGTCTTATTACTTGTGTTATTGTGAGGATCCTGTATGTCTATGTCTAGTCTAAATCTGAAACATTGTATCAAATTCATTACCAATTTGATATCCTTTATACATAACATTTTTAAAGCAAGTTTAATTACAGAATATCGCTATATATTATAAAACAAGTATACACCTTTGTTGACGAATATTACGAATATTACGTGATATCAATAAACCTATCTTTTTGACGTCAACTTCGCATTGATCACCATGAGTTTTACTGATTCATCGTTAGCTCAACAATTGTTAATAACTGTATAATATCTGAGAAATTTATATAACTTTTGAAGATGTTCGAACTCATCTTTTGAAAACCATGCTATTCCAAGGTAAATAATGTTTAGTGCCTTCTCAAATGCACACGCCTATAGCCTATCAGTGTTGATATGATGTTTTGGAATTGAACTCGTCAAGTTAAAAGTTGAAGACCTTAACCACATAAAAATGTAGAAAATAAAAATAAAAACTAACAATAAAACTCAACAAATCCAAAATATCCACTCAAAACTGAAAACCCCAACTACGTATAATTTTTCTTCGAATAATGTTAGAATTAAGAAAATTTCCGACCAACAAAAATGTTAGGACGATCCCATGTTTGTATTAACATCTTGGGAAAACTAAACAGTGTTGGACACAAGAGTGGAATAAAATCTCTTAACTAATAGAAACTTGAAAATGTTGATCAACAACAAAATATTCTAGTTTGGTTGGCACGTATCGCTTTGGGGATTCTTTACTTGTATAAATGACACATTTACGGAACAACCCATTTGTGTACACGTATTATGCTTATAGCGCATTTGTTACACGTAGTACGCATATAACCAATTTGCGTAAACGTAATCAGCCTCTAACCCATTTGTATTCACGTAGTATGCTTTTAACCCATTGTCGTAAACATAGTATGTATATAATCCATTTGTGCACACATAGTATGCTTAAAACCCATTTGTGTACACGTCGTATGCTTATAACCCATTTGCAATCAATTTGTGTGCTCATATGTTTGTAACCCATTTGTGTTCACATATGCTTGTAACCCATTTGTATACACATGATATGTTTATAACTGAATTAATATACATGTAATATATTTTAGCGCATTCTTTTATGTCATAATTTTTTTCAGTATAGGCTTCCTAAATACATAACCTCTATTGGTAGTCTGTACTTATGGCAGTGCACGTAAGTTAGTAATATGTGATTATACATAAGTTTGACGGTGACACTTAATATGAAGGTACACATAGGTTTTTTTGCGGTTGAAAATAAACTGATATTAGTGTCCCCGTCCATATGTTTTCCAACGCATATGAACAAAGATAGAATACATGTCTGCCTATCATATTTGTAAAAATTACCTTTTAAAAGACATTGAATAATTGTTACCATTGATATACTTCTGAACAGTAAATAATTTTTAATAATGTAAAAATGCACACAAAGCTGAATTGCTTTAATGGTTACAATATAGTCTGTCATCTTAAAGTATATAGCACAAAATTGAAATATCTTACTGGCAGACTGCATTCTTGTAACTACCATTGTCATTAGTTGAGGTCAGATTGGCTTCTGAATGAAAAAGAGCAAGGTCAAGGGTACTCATACACGTGCTGTTTCAAGTTTGGATACTTTCCCTGAATATTTGGTAGATGTTTACAGCCTCTATAATATTATAAAAAGCATTCCAAATAAATTGATATACATCTGTTGGAAGTTGCATGGCAATAATAAGACAAAGGTTCAAAAGGAGGAAATATTTACACGTGTGCATATAATTGTACACTAGCAATCAAGTGACAGGTTATATAATGTAAATTTAAAAATTCAATTTTATCAATAATTCTTAAAATTGTTCGATTGTAACCTTTCACGTCTTAATTCAGTTTTATAGATATAAATTGCAAATAAATATTGCATTAACCTTAACAAGATTAACCATTCAAAACAATAAACGTAAATATGCCGTTCTTCAAAAAAGTAAATAGAAGGTCGTTAAAATGTTGTACGAATATTTTTCTTAAAAATTGCAGAAGGTATCAAAAGATGAACCTTTTCAAATAAAACCAAATACAGTCTCTTAAATACGAAATATTAAATGCAAAACAGGACAAAGTTCTTTAAAAATATGTATACAAAAACCGTAAAGGTCAAAGTAAATGAAGAAATGCTTGTTAAACAATCATTATTAAAAGGCGACATTAACGTCCAACTTGCTCCATGTCTTCTAACAAGACTCTTCCGTGATTCCACGAGATCTGTGCTACCTGAACTAGAGTCTCGCGAATATTTCCTTGAAAAAGAGTGCAAATGAATATACTAATTAAATATTTAATATCGATGTAAAAAGGCGAAGTGGAGTTTTGTTTCTTTCATAAGGCACTCATAATCCATTTTCAGGATCTTCAATTATCCCCAAGGCTGTATGCGATACATAAATGATCAAACAGTACCTAGGAACCAGCTGACGATCGTTAGCTCCAGATGTTGCTGATATATTAACATTATACATGACTTTCCTGCTGAAACGACTACCGGATAATGAAATTAAATAGTGAGAACAAACAAAGTCTCAAAATTAGCAGGCTGGTGATATGAACGGCAAATACCATGATTGTTCTTTGCCGCGTTAAGTAATGTCGGGAGAAATATGGCAGAGAGCACTGAAGGTTTAGCGAAATGCATTATTTAGAGTCTCAATTTTCCATGTCGGTATAATCTAAACAATAACGTCCTACAAATTTAATGTATCCCAAATATGTCAACGTATTGCATGTATACAGTAATGGAACAATATTTATTAACAAAATTACCAACTTGTTGAGCTGCTGCACATGTATCTAAACGTTGTCCTATAAGCAACCAGGTCATGCTTTAGTGATGTAGTTGCGTAGAAACGACAAAGAGATAGTGATTCTTTAAAACACTCCAGGAAACAATCCAGATTTCTTAATAATAATAATAATAATAATAATAATAATAATAATAATAATAATAATAATAATAATAATAATAATAAAATAGCTTAAGACATTTCAGTATAAATATCATCACGTTCTCTTTTAATTCCATGTATGTATGTACGTATGTATGTATGTATGTATGTATGTATGTATGTATGTATGTATGTATGTATGTATGTATGTATGTATGTATGTATGTATGTATGTATGTATGTATGTATGTATGTATGTATGTATGTATGTATGTATGTATGTATGTATGTATGTATGTATGTATGTATGTATGTATGTATGTATGTATGTAATGCTACTTTGTTTAAAGCAAAATAAGGGATATATTTATTTTAAATATATTCGTCGCAGTAATCATAGCATCAATAGAAAAACGACCGATGTAAAGTGACCAATGGAAATACAAGCGTCTTCAAGACAAATAAGGGACCTATATACCTCAGACAACCAGGGACCTGTATACATGAGACTACCAGTAACATATACACCTCAGACAACCAGAGACCTATATACTTGAGACAACTAGGGACCTATGTACCTGAGACAACAAGGGACATATATACATGAGACGACTAGGATCGTAGGAACATGAAACAACCAGGTACCTCTATACATGAGGCAACCAAAGGACTTATATACCTGAGACAACTAGGGACCTATAGCCAGAGAAAACCTGGAACGA